CCGTTTCCCTAAAAAAAAAATCTTAAGAAAAAGATGTCATTCAGAAATGGAAATGGTCAAGATTTCGATTTGTTACCTGAATTTAACGTGAGGTAAACGAAAAACGAACACATAGCCGTTATGTGACCTGATGGTCGCTCACCACTAGTTTGAAAAGAGGCACAGCAGCTTCATGGCTTAAGTTCAATTTTTAGTCTTTAAGGTTAGCGGATATCGAAAGTACCACTCTTTTCGAAAATCTGCTTGTGTTATGAAAATTTGTCGATTTAGCTGAGAATCTTGCACCTGTGGTGATTAGTTCGGTAATAGTACGCAGTAATATGCGTCATACTTTTGGCATTAATAGTTTTGGTCTTGTGTGTAAAAGACAATGGATGCATTTATATGAAAATCGGTTTTAAAGAAAGCATCCATGTTCATTTTGTATCGATGAAAGAATGATTTACATTCAAAAGACGTTGACAGCAGCCTGATGAAGTAATTTTATTCAGTATCAAATCAAAGCTGATCGAAATTCTCCGCTCAGGTGGATCAAAAAATTGATTTATATTGAAAAGTTTTCAAATACAATGAAGCGATTATCAGCAGGTAAATGGGAACCTGATTTGTGTTTTTTTAATCTCATTTCTTTCTGCGCAAACACAAATTACTTCGGGATTGAAACACACATTATCAAAAAAACAAGGGATAAAAAAACAGCTTTGAATTCAGCTGCATAGAAATCAGCGTGATTTGAATTCAAAAGGTTTTTCCATTAAGCACGTTCGTACTGAGACAATAATGGCGTTATCATCGAAATAGGACACAAAAAAAGGTATTGTACTCAAAATTGCTTTGGCAAATGGAAACAAAAATTGTTGCAAAATGAATCCTGAAATTAAAGCAACTTTTCCTGTTTCGACTGTTTCCTGCATGCCATCATGAGTCTGGCGATTAAAAAAAAAACTTTTTAAGTGGATCGGAGGAAAGAGGTTTTGCCAAGAACGTTAGAGAAAATATTTTTGTTGTTAAAATGTAATGTTGTGCATATAACAGAAGATGATCGATCAAAATCAACTTACGTCAGGCTGTCATTAATGCATTTATCGTCGGTAATTGCGAGAAACGAATCATGCAAATCTCTGATACATCATTGCTAGAATTTGCTACAGGGCTTGGTTATTTAATTGCGCTTTCCATCGGATAATTCACCGTCTAGTAGATAAAGTAGTTGGTTTTGGTAACACCTGCCCACTGCATGAATAATAATTAATTCTGGGGAGAGGGTTGAACAGCCCTTTCAATAGCAGTGCACAGTTAGTGTACAGCAGTTGAGTATATATGTAATCCGCGCAACCAAGGTCTAGCACGCATGCTTTGGCTAGAGTAGACTACTATTTTCAGTTTAAAGCAAAGCCACATCATCTTTAGCAACGAGATTTCTGTGCGGCTGTACCATCGAGATCAGATTGGAATTCGGAGATGTTGGTTTTTGCTTAGGAAAACAGGAGAACCCGGAGAAACCATCACCCCCCCCCCCCCCCCCCCCNCCGCCCCCCGCTTCGATCCTGAGCAAACTGCGAGAATTAAACTAACGGCAAGGGCTTTTATCCAACATATGACACTCAGTCACTTTGGTACCAAGGCAGTGTTACTGTAGCTGTCACTAAATACTCTATTGGACTCTGTTAACTGGCCCCGAATGAAAACATGTACCCTNCCCCCCCCCACCCCTAGGTCTGCATAATTATTAGCATAGTTCTTTTTGAGAAACAACCAAATTGTAGGATTTCTTGATTGTCTTCAAAAAATAAATGCTGTGCTTTAGTATTTCGGAAAACAAAGACTTCTGTATTAAGCTAATCCGGTGAAATTTTGAATCTAAAGCCGAATCCCAGAAATAAATTTTCTTTTTTGGGGGAACTTTCTCAAAGAACAGAGGAAAAAATCTGCAAAGATGGCGAAGTAATACGTTTCGTCAGTTTTAATCGGCTTTCAGTAGCTGGAACACATTACGGAAAATTTTACTTTCAATGAAGCTTCTCTACCAGTATTTCAGTACTAGCTAATAAAAGATTCTGCGGAGATCGTCTAGACAGGAGTGTCGTCTTTGGGCTTTCTAATTAGAGCAAGTGGCCGCGGAAAGAAAATATTTTCAAGGTCGAACATCAGCCGAGTTGTGTTTAACTAAAACGTAAAAATGCTGGCTTTTTTCGCATTGAGATATAACCGTGAGTTGATAGTAATGTTGGTCAAGCGTGCATTTGATATGCATATTCACAGTTTACAGATACCCGGTTATCTACTAGTACTGTTGATTTTAAAAACAGTATATGTGTCAGTGAAAACATGGTCTCGAAGAAAGTCGAGTAACGTAAAAGTCGCGCTACTCACCTCGGTTTGCAAGTCACCAGTCGCTGAGAGCACACGAGTCGACGCGAGGGAACAAACAAACGTACTTAGTTACTGTGTTGCACATGTATCAAGATTTATTTAAGAGTGTGATTTGCAACTGTAATTAAGCGACTCGCTCGACCCACTTACGGAAACGTTTTTCAGTGAGATGGCAGCTCGATTGCTTTATTTTTCAAAACAAGTAATCATACAACAGCTTCGAGTATATTTTGCCGCCTCTTCATTCGTTCATTTCTCACAGTTGTACGTCATCTTCGAAGTGTGACGAAACTATGACCTAACACGGTTTGACGCAAAGGACAGAATTATTAGTGTGTGTCAGTTTTTTTTTTTTTCTTTTTTCTTTTTTCTTTTTTCTTTTTTTTTTCTTTTTTCACAAAGGAACTCATCACCAAGTCTTTACGGCGACTTTTTCCCTCAATTATGCAGGGCGAATGGACTAACTTTGATTGCACGAGACGTGAAACTACACCTAATAACATCGCTTACCGACCTTAATTCATTGTTAGGTAAATCCAGAACTTAAGTAGCATTCAGCGTAAGACCTGCTGTTACCGCCGGAGTCAGCTGGAGTACCGCGTCGGTGAGATATTTTAAGAACACAGTCGGATTTCGGGCAACTTTATGTAAAACTGAAACTTTTTGTCATATGAAAGGTTTATACTTGCCTCGGGTTAAACCGCCGCGAATATTCAATTAGAATTCGAAAATGACCCGAAGGTATTAAAGTTGCTTTTCCATGTGGATTTAATCTACAGCAGGAGCCATAATCGGGGACGGAGACCGTAAGCGCGCGCCATTTCTAGTATTGGGGTTGTCCCCATGATATGGGACAATAATTCTATTTTTAGAA